GCTGCCAAATGATCAAGTCAAACCTCCAGGAAGACTGGATGAATGATTGGGCCACAGGCACGAAAGGAAGGAGGATGTATGGCCACATGAATAAACCACTGGTCAAAGATCCAATCAATGAGTTGAGGAGGGGAGATCAATCCATAATCTTCCAACTTAGAACACAACATGTACCCCTCAACCAACATCTCAACCGAATTGGAGTAAAGCAGTCTGCTGCCTGCCCACTATGTGACTACCCCTCAGAGACAGTGGAACGTCATCTGTTTTTCTGTAGAAAACTAACTGGTTTAAGGGGATGTTTTCTTCCCAAGCGACCCCACACATCTAATTGCCTCTACTCCTCAAGACAACAATTAGAACAAGCATGCAACTATTACCGAATGGCATCATGCAGAAGAGTTACCGCTCAGATGCTACTGGATCGCTAACAACAACAACAACAACAACAACAACAACAACAACAACAACAACAACAACAACAACAACAACAACAACAAGACTACTGGGGGAAAACGACGGTAGTCACAAACTGAAAATTGCGAGGGTACCAATTATGAACGCTTGTTGACTCATATAACTGTATTTCTGTCCAGCTGTTGGGTGATTATTGTTGTTAGGTTTCCCATTCATCTACACTTGATAATAAACCCACCAGTCAAACAAATATACGGTTATGAGTCCACAAGCTTTTAAAATTGGCAGCCTCACTATTTCTAGTTTGTGACTGCCGTCGTGTTCCCCCTGTGCTCTTCATTTGTATAACGCTTCCACTCTCGACAGCAAGCTGTATGCACTTTACACTGTACGTATAATTACCCCCAGCAGACACCAGAACACACAGAAACATCTTCGGCTTCCCGGAATGCACTCTCATTCAATGTATTTTAAAATTAAGAATCCGGGTGGGTAGTTTGCGGGTGCTCTGATCTGGTTTGCTTCTTCTTTCCTATCAAACATCTATCGTCCTTTTCTCCCCTTCTTCTTAGTTTATGCTTGTTGCTCCCTTGTAACACCTCTAATCTTCTGGCGCTCGTATGACCTTATGCAGTTGCGAGCTCCGTAAAACTTTTATTAAAAGTAAACTAAGAATCCGGAATCTAAAAATAAATGACTTTGCTAACAACCTGTTCGGCCATGCGTGCGCGTGTTACGTGTGCTTGTACGTGTGCGTGTGCGTGTGCGTGTGCGTGTGCGTGTGCGTGTGCGTGTGCGCAACCCCTACAAAGCTCATCTTCTTGTATGTACAGCGATCGGCGTGTCGGAGTTTATGGAATTGGTTTCTGCAGAGACCAGTGAACGGTCACACGCAGCGGACCTGAGTTCGATTCCCGTGTCGGGTGAATTTTTATCGCGTATGATCTCAGTCTTTCTGCTCGGACGTTATATGTGTCACGGCGTGGTGGAATCAGCTGCTCGTCAAATTTTGGGCTTGTGGAGTTATTGATACTGCCGTAAAGCTTGTTCTTTTGTCTTGCTTTTGATGAAAGAAATACCCTTTTATCTTGAATACATGTCGAGATACTTGCGATTGAAGGAGGTAGGGTTGCCTGGTTTCTGAGGCAAAATTAGCTAGAAAATGGCTACCAAGCCTTGGTTATTCACCTAGCCGTG